GAGAATAATGATACCTGAAATCTATGTTTGGTCAATAGGCAAACGTGTCTAGTTACTTCTCTAGAAAAAGGATGTTTATATATCTTGCCCCATATAATGCTTAAAGCACCCTCTGGGCAGTTTACAAATTACCGTATTTTTCGCTCCATAAGACGCACCTTTCCATAAGACGCACCAATTTTTTAGGAGAAGAAAACAGGAAAATATAATCTGTTTTCTTCGCTCCATAAGACGCACAGACTTTCCACACCCCTGTTTTGTGGGAAAAAAGTGAGTCTTATGGTGCAAAAAATACAGTAGTTATACAGACTACATTTTGAGCCCTGGCTCCCAGCAAGCTGGGCACTCCTTTTACTCATTTGAAAGAATGGAAATCTGGGTCAACCTTGAGCCGGCTACCTGAGCCCGCTGGGATTGAATTCAAGTTGTGATCAGAGGCTTGACTGTAGTTTAACCACTGTACCACAAGGCTGGGTGTTAAACACTGGACTGATGCCAACAGGGGTGATAGGTTCTTCTGCTGTATCAGCCAGACACAGTCTATGACATTTCCTGATTCGCCCTTTCTACTATGGACTGCTAAATAGACAAGGGAGGAACCCATGCCACCCTGCTGATAAAAAATGTCCAGCACCGAAAAGAATCAAAGAGGTAATGAGTAAACGAAAAGAGCCTTACTGATTGAGATGAAGGATCCAGCTACTCCTGAGTTCTGTTTCCTATCAATGGAATCTGTTTTCTTCGCTCCATAAGACGCACAGACTTTCCACACCCCTGTTTTGTGGGAAAAAAGTGAGTCTTATGGTGCAAAAAATACAGTAGTTATACAGACTACATTTTGAGCCCTGGCTCCCAGCAAGCTGGGCACTCCTTTTACTCATTTGAAAGAATGGAAATCTGGGTCAACCTTGAGCCGGCTACCTGAGCCCGCTGGGATTGAATTCAAGTTGTGATCAGAGGCTTGACTGTAGTTTAACCACTGTACCACAAGGCTGGGTGTTAAACACTGGACTGATGCCAACAGGGGTGATAGGTTCTTCTGCTGTATCAGCCAGACACAGTCTATGACATTTCCTGATTCGCCCTTTCTACTATGGACTGCTAAATAGACAAGGGAGGAACCCATGCCACCCTGCTGATAAAAAATGTCTAGCACCAAAAAGAATCAAAGAGGCAATGAGTAAACGAAAAGAGTCTTACTGAGTTGAGATGAAGGATCCAGCTACTCCTGAGTTCTGTTTCCCATCGATGGACTTCTTGATATACTAGGAAAGGGGTATTGCTCCCTATCATTCATTATTCAGAGATTCATCAAGTTATCATGATTAGCAACTGATCAATCTCCAAGAATCCT